AAGTATTTTATAGGGAGTCCACTAAGTGAAACTGAACCTCTGTGAATTTTTCAGAAAGCAGAATCCCACAATTTCCATAAGATGACAGAACATTTGAAAGCCCTTTGTCTGTCGCCTGTATCAGATTGTTGACCACTGTGAAAATGGAGCTGTACGTATTTGACACTCCATTTCGATAACCTGTACCTTGATGGGTGCTCTCTCTTTTTGCCTTACAGTGAAGATGGAGGTGACTATACATTCATGATCTAGTTTCCACTCTTTTAAATTGGCCCCTTTCCTTCTACAGTGTATCATATTGGTGGCATTGTCAAACATCATCTACCTGTACAGCTAATTGTGTAATACATGATAGATTTAGCCTAGGTTGGTTGAGTTCAATAACACAGCCTGCTTCAAGGAGTTCATGTATTTCACATACAATACAGTAACAAAAAAGGCTTCACAAAAAAGTATTATTATGCTTATCTTCATGTCAGATGCTATGAGTTGTTTTCACAGATTAAACTTACATATACAGTATCTATACTGTATGTGTTCAGTGTTAGTTGCTCTTCAGTTTGATGATACATACAGTACAGTATCTATGTTTTCCTAAAGCCAAGTTATCAGTAACCATTTCAGCACAATACTCTGTTAAATGTCGGTTTGACATACTGTGGAAGGAATTACCTCTCAGAAACTCGCTTTGAACAAAAAGGATTCACTAACTTCAACTATTTTTAATTAAAGAATGAAAAGCAGAATGCTTTCATGTAGAATATACAGTCGGTTCTGGTTTTGATTTGTAGTTAACATATCTTGTCTTTTCTAAAGATATGAAAGGAAATCTTTGTCACTGCATATACTGTATGGCAACTCCAGTGTTTGACCTGGTGATGTATTTATTTCATTGTGCCTGTTTTAAAAGCAGACTAATGCACTCTTAATGCATGCACTCTACTTGAGCATCTTACTGAGTTCAAAGAGTTTGACAGACAATTACACTTGCAATCAGGTAACCCCTAGGCACTGCATTTTAGAAATGAACACCTGTGTCTGTGAATTTAAAAACAAAATGATGCAATATCGTGTGGCTAGGGCTCACTTTTTGTCAGAAGTAATCTTTACTTTTTACTTTTTTGGCAAAGCAAGATATAAAAAATATGCACTAATTCTACATTGACTTCAATTGAACGTCAGTGCTTCGGCAGGCAAAAATAACACCTGAATAAATCCACATTGTTTCCATAATTGTAAAAATAAAAAGATCAAGGAAATGGAGCAGCAAATTGAGTGACAAAGTCAATGCTGATTGAGACTCTCGGCCCAGGAGAGGTAGCAATTTGAATCTCAATGTCTCACCAGCACAGACCTCTTTTGTGACACAGTTCACAAAGGCACTTTATGAGTGATCACTCCAGAAGGGACTCTTTTACAAGACTAGCTATAAATACTCTCAAAGAGGCCATGCCATTTTTACTACAGACATAGAGTACCCATAGTCACTAAAACATCTACTCATTGTTGATGTTCCCCCTAGTAATTTTATACAGAAGCTATGAACATCTTCTCTTAAAACTTATTGGACATCTTCTCTTCCTATGGTGCTGGTACAGTATTATTTGTTTTTTCCTTTATTAGAGCCTTTTATATTTATGGATACACTTTAACAGATGTACAGGATATAGCTACGGATAAAAAAAGTTTATTTTCATTCCAAATCTAGAATTCTCATATTTAGTGGTTTACTAAATGTAAGAAATATTTTTTTAAACTGATTAAGCCAATAAAGGAGTATGATGTAAGAATCAGGTAATACTAAATTACTTTGTACAACAGCTTCAGATACATACATTTTAAAATAAAAAAACGAACTGAAACACATTTTCAAAACACAAAACACAAAATTATAAATCGAATTAATTATTTATAAATTATTATCATTTGGTCTAGTGAGTGACCATTTTAAAATTTGGATCTTTAAGATCTAGGGTTCAAATGCTGACATCTGAAAAATAATAAATTGTATACATACTCTCTATTTAACCTTTTTAAGACTGAAGATCTACAAATGAAAA